ACTTTTGGTAAATGTTTAAATGCACTGCAATTATACACCACAAGACTTGAGAAAATTTTTATCCAGTAAATGATTACACCCCTTCTACAATGTGCCTTTACACAATGTAAAAATCAAACAGCTTGCCAGACAGAAAACTACATGCACAACAGCCAATCACATTAAAGACGTTTTCATCCCTTTAGCATCCTTTGAGCAACAGCCTCTGCAATACACCAGGAAAGAGACAAGCAAGAGCTGAAGCAGTACAGCTCTTTTTTCCACAATGAAAGCTTTCTGAGCAGTCTGTGCACTTATGAAAATTACACTATAGCTTGTAAACAGTGGGCGACATGTAACAACGCTGTGCCACTAGTGAAGTTATCATTCCGTAAGGAAATGGCTTTCATAAGAAATCACCTACAGCTGGAAACCAGCAGCAACTATTTATCAAAGTAAATTTAACTGACAAATGAATAATTTTAAACAGTGTAAAATAATAAGCAAACAAGGTAATCGCATAGCCTCTTTAAGTCAAAACCATCATACAAACATGAGTTCGGTGTATTGTTTCCACACCATATAACGCATTCTACTATGAAATAAATATGAAATACAGAACTATGAGATAAAGGAATAAAATCATTGTAAGAAATGTCAGCATGGATCGGTACCAACGGCCCCGATACCCAAAAGAAGTAAAAAATTAACATGCTTAATTGCAAAAAAAGAAGAAAAAAAGGAAGATGGCAAGATTTCTAATGTCCAAGATTACCTAAGCGGACATTCAGTCATTATTCATTAGTCTCCGCAATTTCTTAAAGGGACACTACAGTGAAACAATGAGTCTGCTTAGACTGATAAATTGTACTTTGCGAACTCCAATGTTGTTCATCTCCTCATGACATGTTTATTAATAGAGGAGAAAACCAAGGTGGAAATTTCATTTTTTAGAAATCTTCACAAGCGAGAGCACAGATTTCAATGTGTATTTTTTGCATTCTGGAGACACAGGCAAAACGAAACTTCCTAAACCCCCTAGATATGACAAGCCTATAGCCCCCTCACAGGACAATGAAAGCTTTACAAAGCAGTCTGTGCATTTACAAAAATTTAGACACTACAGCTCGTGAACATTAAACAGCATGTGATAATGCTTTTCCACAAGTGGTTTTAACTGCTTTGTCGAAATCTATGACATCACACAATTTGGTGCGAAAATTTGAAGGTGGTGTCGCTACCCCCAATATTTTTGTGTCTTCTTAGCTACCAAGCATCTACTCGTGATAAAAGTGGCGTGTTCACAATAGTGACATCGTAATTTAGTAACACATGACGAATCATTTTCTCCTCTACGTGATAAGACAGTCTATACTGCCACGTGCATTTCTTTATTTTGCATTCCATTCGGTTTTCAGCCACACAGCCTGTCATAAATTCTCAGCGCAAACTGTGTCTCATTGTTCGAGAAGGTTCGCAATTATTGTAGGTTGTTCTGTTAAGATTACACGCAATACGTGAACACATGAGATTGTTCTAGAGCTTGCACGACGACCAGTGATAAGGCTATAATATTCTACGGCACATGTATAAATGCCCACGTACATTGCCACTTGTCAGTTGATCGACGGCCGATGCTCTGGTCACCGCTATCTGTGAGAGTGCGTGTCGCAGTAATCGAACTTTCTGTTTACCGGCCATAAGTTTGGCCCATTAAACAGTTTCATTCTGCACAAGTCATCTCTTCCTTCATTGACGTCACAACCACAGGGCAATATCACTTGTTCTCTCTAGGAAGACAAGATCGTTTTAATTTGTTTCTCCATCCAAGCTACACCTGTACTGCGAAGTGTGGTCCGTATCATTTGTACAAACATTAAGTGTTAACTAAAAGAACGAGAGCTGAACAAATGCACTCAAATGTGACAAATGTCCTGAGAGAGCCTGTTGTAACAATTCTGAACAGTATTGAACCTTCATAGGCAGTAATTAAAGGTGAAAAAAAAAAAAAGGTGAAAAAAAAACTGAACAAAATACTTCACTATTCAGTCTTCTGCCAAACATCTTGGTAGCCACTCTGTGAGGCAGCACTTGTATCAAAGCCACAGTCAGAAACAGAATGAAGCAGGCATAGCAGTAGGTAGTTCCTCATGACCAGCATGAGGAAAATGATAGCAGCAGAATAAATAATAAGTATTTGTGAGCTTATTGATAAGCGGGGGCTAAAAACAATCTACTGTAAAATCATGAGCAATTACCCCTCCTTGCAGTGAAGGGCAATTTGACAATATTGCATGGGGGGGGGGGGGGGGGTACTGTTCTTGGCCACGGTTGAAAATTCAAGATGGTGGCAAAGGAGCCCTTAGGAATAAATAATGCATTACCCGTGCTTGTAATGCAAGTCTTTATTGAATATGAATTCATCACTGTTTCCATTCACTCTCGCCAGGAAAAAAAAAGAGATGGAACAGTGAAAATGGTGGGAGTGGAAAAAGGGGTGCGTATGTGAAATTTCCTGGAAAAGGGTGCTTGCTCGGGATTTTACAGTAGCTGACAGGGTGCTTTAATATAAATATAACAAACGCCCCACCCGGTAACTCATGATATCATGGTAACTCCTGCCTTGGCCACCAAGAGGTGGCTGGCAGTATGCAATAAATAAATAAATATTTGCTATGCCTATTCCACGTGTAATTGATGGAATTAGCATTAGTGTTCATTAGAATAAAGCAGAATGGATGCTTATCAGAATTTTGAGTGTATGTTTCGATAAGCAACTATAATGACATCATCACTCAGGTGACAACTTGTAAGGCCCAAGCTCAGGAATTGTTTAAGATCAGTAGTTGTTTGAACTATTAGTAAATACAATGGGGATATTTTTACAACCAAGACGTGGCCATCCCCATCCTGTCATGCCTAGCTAGCTTTTCAATAGTGGCTCTCAGACAATGTGGAATCACTTAGCATCAGTGTACATTCCTTATTTCATGGACTATTCAAACTCACCTCAGCTAGCGGGCCGCAGTCATTAAATTTAGTCGCCCAAGCTTCCAGACAGTGAAATAGGTCGGAGGTGGGGGAATGGCTCGTACAAAATGTCCCCTCACACTGCCATTTCAAACTAACAAAAGGATACGAGAAGAAGACAATCGTGTTAGGGCCAAGCAGCCAGCGAGAGGTTCATGGGCCACATGCGACTTGCAGGCCATTTGTTTTGAGACCCCTAGGCTATAAAAACATTGCACATACTATGTACAGGGGTGTTCAAAAGTTCTCAGGTTGCACTTTTGACCGTCCCTGCAGATCCACGTGTTGGGGATGGCCACTTATTTTACCAGATTGGAAAACAGCAGATTAACTCACAAGATGAATTTCTTTGCTTTTAGAAATGGCATAAGCAGTGACTGCAAACAACTGCTTGTATATTCGCTCAGCAAGGAAACTCCAAAAATTATTCTCGAATGCAATCACGAGCACGCAAATATATTCGTCACCTTAAAAGTACATGACCAGCATGCAGCGTAGACATTACTCAAATAAAATGTTGCAACTTGCCACTAGGCATGTAAACATAATAAATAAAGCAGTAAAAATGTGAGTGCAAGAAAATGCAGCAGCTTTCGGCTTTGTGGTGAGACAACACCCTGTACGAGGCAAAAAAGTACGGTTAGTGTGCTGTTACCTTAATCAAAGCAAAGCAGTGTACAAACAAAGAGGAATGAATTGAAGAGCCCATTGTTAAATTCCAACCTACGAAGCCAAGCATAATGCAAAGGTTTAGCAGAATGTTAAGGTTGTAGGTCTAGTCCCTAACTGTGGCAAATTGTTTCTTTTTTCAACTGCTTATAATTTTATTGATCTGCAATCTCAGAATTACTAAACAACAGTTAAGGAAACATGCCTGTATGCTTTCACTGCCTTCAGTCTTAGTATAAGCACTTCGAAATTGAACGTTCTTTTGATTAATAAATTTGGGGAAGCCTATAACCCTGATATTCTGGAACATCTCCCCGCCCACCCCCCCGCCCCCGCCCAATTCATCGCTCTGCCCGGACTCACGAAGGTTGATGTCAGCGCTGCCCATCAAATGAAGTGGTGTATCCGCTTACCAGTCATAATCAGCATCAATTAATAAAAAATGCGGGGTCACCACCCGACAAGTGAAGGACAAACATTACATTCAGGCTGGTATGAGTTGTCACCAGATACAGTGGGTTTTAACGCTTAAAATATATATATATATAATAATTACATTATTTGCAACTTCGATAGAGCGCAGGACACTCAAGGCAAGTTCGAACTACCACGAAACAAAATTAAAAAGTAAACATACTATCAAACCAGAAAATTCTGAAGCATTGGCAGGTGTGCGATTGTCACACCACAGTAAAGCCTAGATGCAGGGAACAAGAGGCAGGGGGTGCCCAGGTCTAAAACTAAGGCCCACTGTCAATGTTGACAGCAATCGATCATCTAAGCACATATAGTAGCTCACGGTACTTACTTTGAAGAGGTTAGTGAATTGTCATGCAAGGTTTAAGATGAAAGAATGGAAGCGCTTATATAGAAATAGTAAGTCCAGCATTTTTATAACAAACAACACTAGAAGAAAAGTAAATACAGTAAACTCCCGTTTAGACTAACTCTGTTAATACAAATTCTTGCTTAAGATGAACAACACGGGTGTGTTTGTTTGGTTTCCCATAGACTCAATGGAAAAAAAAAATCTGCTCAAGACGAACCGCGTAACGGGCCTCTTTTGTTAAGACGAACTATCGCAGCGACCAACAATGACAGGAATTGTGTGCAATGATTGATGGGGGCTACTCAGGCGAACAAAAATAAGCAAGATGAAAAAAAAAAAAACTTTATGGCACACAGACTCAAAGCACATCGAAAGCAAATTTCAACCTGTAAACAGAAAGCGAGGTAAGTGTAAAAACAAAGTCAGCACATAAAGCTGGTTATCTCCCTCACCCCAAAGGGTGGGCTTTTTTATCAGCAAAGAAAGCAACAGGAAGTTTTCACCTTTTTGTATTCTCCTCATGTTCTTCAGTTCCCCCAACAGGAGTACAGTAGAGAACAGAATAACACAAGAGCTTGGCTAGAGGGGAAAATGCAAGGAAGTGGAGGGGCAAAAAAAAAAAAAGAATCCAAATAAAAGTGAAAACGGGAAAAAAGATTGTCTGTCAGCACCTTACTTTGGTGCTCGTAGTTCACCTTATATTACCAGTTGTTAGAAATGAGTGAAACCACTGTGAGCACACATTTGCATTAACAGTATTTATGCTATGTAGGAGTTTTTCTGTTAGTGAAAACAAGAAAGTCATGACTATGCGCTCCTCTCCGACGTTAATTCAGGTGACCCCCCCCCTCCCTAACAATCAGTGGCTGGATCACCCCTGGTTGTGAATAAGACGAACAAATGATCCTGGTCCCTTGGAGTTTGTCTTAAAGGAAGTCTACTGTATACTCGCTTTTAGCTACAATGATGACATCAATTAATATGACTATATTGAAGAAAGCAATTATTTAGTGCACAGGAAACCCAGAGTGAGGGTTTGCAGTTGTAAACTGCTTGTGCCAGTAGAGCTCCCGCGACTTTGTTTACGCGTGTCACTGCCTTTACCAAGTCAAGATTCAACTGCAGCCTAAATATACAAGAATAAAAGCCCTATTCATTGCGACACTTTCCAAAACGCTATAGAAGAAACCATACTGGTTAGTCGATTGCCTAATCACTTAACCAGGTACATTCATTCATGGCAACTCAGCCTTTTACAAGGCACACTTATTGCACTCAGTTTCCATGAAGAATCACAAAGTGAGTGAGAAATAAAAGAGTAAATCTGAGCACCTCATTTCATGTCCTCCCGTTTGGTTAAAGCACACATTTACACATGTCAGTCCATATGAACATCGTATAAAGAATGTAACGAGATTTAGCACTCAGTTTCCATGAAGAATCACAAAGTGAGTGAAGAATAAAAGAGAGATAGAAAGATGAGTAAATCTGAGCACCTCATTTCATGTCTTCCCGTTTGGTTAAAGCACACATTTTACACATGTCAGCCCATATGAACATTGTATAAAGAATATAACGAGATTTACAGATTGACAACTTTCCCCCGACGTTGACAAAGGCACACAATATAACGGAGCGAAATTCTGCCCAGCGTTCTTCGGACACAGTGGATATACACCGAGCTCAAGGTGGCGCCATATAAATTAAAACAGCATTTGGCCACGTGGCAATGAATACATAGACGAAATTAGTGTGAATGACAAAACGTGAGGCAGACTTTAGAATCCCACTTTTCAGCGTTTGCCGTGCCTTAGAAACCGGGGTATATAATTTACACGTGCAATGTACACTCGAGCACAGCAGTATATTTCTACAAGCCAGCAGCAAAAATGTGGCTGCTATTGCAAGTAATCCTTCTGTACAAGTCATGCGGGTACAACTGTACAAAAATAGAACCGAGTGTGTTCCTTCTATTATCTTACATGTTGGCTCACATATGGTGAAACAAATGACTGAACATAGCTTCATCTGCACACAAGCCCACTCTTTCAACGTGGAAGACACTTTGTTCCCAGCATCGTCTCCTTGCTCTTGAGCCAGCATAACACAATCTGCATGTCAATTAACAACATCAGCACTTCAGGTACTATTTTTTTTTATGCCAAGTGAACCGAGTATACGAGTGTTTTACATACAAGCTTGATCGAAACGCAATCACCATGGTTGGGAAGCAGACCTACGATGTTGTGCTCAGCAGCGCAATGCCAAGGCAGCTAACCGACCATGGCTGGTTTGAAGCTACAAAGCTAACCTGCACAGTTTTCCCAGAGAGAGAAAATGATGACAATAAAATGTCGGGTTTCATGTGCAAAAACCACACCATGATTATGAGAGAAACTGTAGTGAAGAGCTCCAAAAATTTCAACGATTTGGCGCTCTTTACCACGCACTGAAATCGCATAATGCACAGGCCTCCAGCATTTCACCTCCATCAAAATGTGACAGCCACGGCCGAAAGCGAACCCGCCACTTTTGGGTCAGCAGCCAAGCTCTGTAACCACTGCACCAAAACGATGGACAAAGAAAGAAACCTTTGCAGCTGCAGATCAAGACTTCTTGCTTGTTCGATATGGAACTCAGGATGAATGCACTTGCAATGCAGGAAAGCAACCCTAAGAGGAGGAGGCATACAAAAAGAACAGTCCTTGTGTCATCTATTCTATATTATTTTGAAGTTTTTCGGCCATAGCGAACCAATGGCGATGCATGTGCCCATTGATCTCATCTTCGTTTCGTGCTTTGTAGGTGAAAACACTCCGAAAAGAGCCTGATCAATACGCGTGAGGGCGACACACAAGTGGTGCAGGATGGCTAGGACACACCTGTTCTTCAGTTTGTAGAGAGAAGCTTAAGGTTGCATGAACAAGTGTTTGCTTTTGAACAACTGTGCCTCTCAAGTAATTGCGCAAATCAATGATATCATTTAGAAGAAAAAGTGGGGTAGGGGCAGGGCATGTACGCTCAAACCTCATTAGAACAAAGTTGCGTCTTACACAAAAATAAGTTTATTATACCTGGAAATTCGTTATAGGGCATATTCCAAACACTATCAGAACTTTTCCTCATTTACATACTTTGTTATAACTTATATTTTGTTATATATATCCAAGTTTTAGTGTAGTGAGAGGTCAAGATCATTGAGAGTAACAGACTAGATTAAAGAAAAAAAGGCAAGCGTGTGAGGAGAGGCAGGAAGTTGGGTGGAAAGATAGGACAGAGAAGTTTATGGAGCTAGTAAGGCCACAACTAGCACAGCACCGGGCTGATCAGAGGAATATGAGAGAGGTCTTTACCCTGCAGTGGGCGTAGTCTGGCTGACGATATCATGATTGACAGGCACGAAAGAGAGGGTCTCCATATCTACAGGTAAGAGCTAGATAATACAGTCACCGACCGATTTTTCGTACCTGGCGAGGACCCAAAAAAAGTTCGAAAAATCGAACAGTCCAAAAATGTTGTTTTTGTCAGAAATATGAACATTATTGCATCAGGCAGGCTTAAAAAGTACATGATTCTGCCTTGCCTCATACTACGCTTGGAAGCAATTTGGTTTGCCCGTATTTGCGCCAAGGTGACATCGTCACCGTAAATGCTCGACAAAAGCGTCACTGCAGAGGTGATCTCCACTGCTGACAGCTGCGGGCGGTCATCGTCGTCATCATCCGAACCGCTCTCCGGCTGCGGCACAACCTGGCGAAGAATTTCTTCGTCTGTGGGCTCCGCGCACGAGATTGTCATCGTCCACACGAGCGAAGTCTTTATAGGGAGTTTTAGAATAACGTTTGCAGGCACTGCGGGCGTTGCAGGTATAGTGGATGCATTATGAGTTTTAGAGTAGCGTTAGCTCACCCTAAGGAAAAGTTCAGAGACTTTCGCCTCGACCGCAAACTCAAATACACAAAAGCTACAGACACTTCGGGAGCCGCAATTGCTGCACGCTATTTCGGATTTTCTGCGGGCGGGCCGCGAACGGCGACTCGCGTTACGACGCAAGCGCAGTGGCAGCGACCGCACCGCAAGGGCTCGCGGTGCACTATTCTAAAGCTCCCTAATGTCATTCTGGCAGGCACATTAACTTCACCACTGCGCAGCTGCGCCTCCTCCTTGTGCCGCGTGATGACGACAGTGACCACTATGGCTGACTGAAGACGAAAAAATAGTCCCGTTCCGGGTTTTCTAAAGCAGACACGGCCTCCGAGATTTAAAATATGACGTTCTCTTTCCAATCTTGGGGGCAGAAAAGCCATTTTAAAATTAAGCCACTAAGCTTAGTCAAGCCGGTGGAAAATCCAACATGACGGCGTCCATACGGGTTCGTGGCGCAGCTCCACACAAGCGATTTATTCCGAAAAATCCAACTTTCGGGGGTGAATTCATCTGAAAAATTGGTCGAAAAAATGCATTAACCCTATAGAAACCCTGACGGTGCACTTTTGAAGCCCGAAACATCTAACAAGTCGGAATTTTCGGAGTCCGAAAAATCGGTCAGCGTACTTAGCTTGTTATGTTACCGGCAGAATTGTGAACAAATGGCACTTTTTTTTTTTTGCTAAGTGTTACAGTGCCTCTTTTGCCAGAACCTGAACAATAACCAGTATTAGTGTTTTTGATATCATAAGCTGCTTCGAACCCTACATCGCTGTCTTTTTTGTCCAGATGACTTAATTGCTCAGTAGTAACCACAGTGACATGAGACCAGGCACTTCCCGTTGAGGTCAGCTTTGTGTACTGCACGCAGCAACAACACAGTGTCCAAAGCGCTGGCACTACAATTTCATGTGCATTAAATGCCCCATGCGGCGTTAGGTTTTAAGACAGAATTTTCACAAGAAGTCAGAGAATTGTAGAGGCCCAAATCAGTGATAGTGGTTGGTCAAGAGCATTGAGAATTTTCACGAAAAGAGGCTCCCCATGAGCCCCAACATGTGCATCGAATGGCAGACCACATTCCAGCCAACAAAGAAAAACTAATAAATTACTCTACAGTCACAAACGATCTTTCAAAACTCAATTTTTGTTGATTTTCGTAGGATGAACACCTTCAGTCAGAAACCCGCGTCTGAGTGGTTAAACCATCTTCAAGTGTAAGATTTCTTTAGTTTAACTGTAGCTCTTGCTTTTTTGCTTCGTGATACTGCTAGTTTTCACTTAGTTGGTGAATTGTCATGACTTGTTCACTGGAATTAACCTGGTCGATTAGCAGTTCCAAATGTTCAGAGTGACGGCGTCACTACAACAGCATTTCTGAAGATTTTGGAACCCAACACGAGACAAGTGTAAGAAAACTGATAGCCATGAGCACAGATGTTGAACTACACACGACTCCTCTCTTTCTGTCCATTCTTGCATACTAGGCTGAGAAATTCTGTTTCAGTGGAAGCCTGGGTTGGTGTGCTCGATGATGCAGCGGCGGCAGTACTTCCGCACAATGCGGTAGCCATCCACAGTCACCCCCGCACAGTCCTGCAGACTAAGCTGCTGCAGGCCCCTGCAGAAGTAGGCCAGAGCTTGCAGTCCTCGATCCGTAACTAGATCACATGACTTGAGGCTCAGCTTGCGCAAGTTCAGGCAGTGGCGGGCAAGGAATGCCAGGCCCCGGTCTCCGACCTGCTTACAAGTGCCACATCAAAGTTGGGCATCAGTCATGAAAGCCCCTAGGCAAAATTCCTACAAATTTTCTCAATGATTAAATGAGTTTAACATTTTAAAGCAGTATGATCAATCCCTATCTAATAACACAGAAACCATCATGAGTAGCGCAACTAAACACAACAAACAGGAAGAAACAGACGAACAGCTACTGGAAGTCAAACTTGACCACGCCAGTAGAAAATCAAACTTGGCGACTTTCAAAATCGCGCAACACAGCTCAAGGTGAGTGATTTAATCAGAAATACCGAACCGTTCCTCATAAACTCCTTCAAAAAATCAGTTGAGAAGTTGTATTAGCACTATGAGAGCCTTGAAAGTGCATTTATTATAGGGGCCCTGCAACACTTTTTGAGTATGGTCAGAAAACACTGCCGATCGGTAGTAGAAGGTCCCGAGAACACGCGAGACAATGTTATAGCGCAGCATGCGGCCTGGAATTCCCAGTAAATTATCAAAGTCAGCTAAAAATTGCTTCCTCTTCCCTCGATAAATGACGGAAGGCTCAAAAATCACACACAGATTGCCCATCTATCAGCCATTGGCTGACTTGAACATGGCGCGCTCGCTTGTTACAGAGATCGCCAAAATAGGCAGTCACTTGTCCACGCGTGAAAAAGCTGTGTATTCGCACTGAAAAAGCTGCGTATTAGAAGAAAAAAAATGCTCAAGGTCACGAGGCATGCGTGACGCTTTTTGTTTGCCCTTCCCATCCCTCCCTGCTTAGCTTCCAGCGATTTTGTCGGGGCGAGGGAAGAGAGAATGCGATTACAGTGTGTAACAAATTTTTGTACGTACTGGACGGATTCTGAACATTTTTGCAGCGTTGAATTTGTGAGCCAATACGCTTTTCCAGTGAATTAAGAGGGAACATGGGAACCGATAGTGAAATATATTAGTATTAGACCTAGACACAATTTTTTTCAGGGAATATTCAGCCTTGTACACTGATTGAAAATATGTAATTACATTTTTTTACATCAATCCAAAAAAGTTACAACTATTCTTATTTTATGAATTTGGGATGTGGCTTGGATAAAAAGTAATGCATCAAAAAAACTATAATTGAACCTGTATATTGCTGAATATTCAAATAGTGCAAATATGCAATTTCATGCTAGTATCTAAATTTTACCCAAAGTTATGAAGTTTTTATGTCGCAGTCTCTTAGCTCTGAATTTTCACTGGTGATTTCTGGGAAATTCCGAAATTTTACAATGACCTTACACATTTTATCAAGGTTTTCTTGTACACTTCAATACCCTAGCATTCAAACAAAAAAAAAAAAGATCATGAAAATTGAATCAGTATTAGCGACACAGTGCTCATCCCAAAATTCAAAACATGCAAAAATCTGTATTTAAGAAAAATGCAAAAAACTGAAAAAGCTGTGAAAATGAAAATTTCTTGCATGAAAGTCACAGCACTTGTATTCACAATCACTCAGAAATCCTCTGCGGAGTAGTCTGAAGCAGGCTTTTGCTTGTGCTTTTTCTTTGCGGCTGCCTGGAACGCCACTGAAGATGCACGTTTCCTCTTTGAGCCGACGGCATGGTGATAGTCTTTCTATGATGCACAGGTAACCGCTGGTTACCTGTGCATGTTTGATCTAGCTGCAGTTTATGCAAATAAGCCCTAAGTCGAAAAGTATAACAGCATCTGCCATGGCAGTCTCAACGGCAAACAATGACGCATTCTTGTCCTTCGGTGAGAGGCTCCAAATGACCGAATGCAAGGCCTCATTCGCATTCTGCGTCTTCCCTCTGGTGCATCTCTGCAGGAGCTTCTCGTCGGACAAACGTTCATAAACAGGTCGCAGTGCATTGCTCACAGCCTCTGGCTAATTCTACTTGCTTTTTGGATTGGGCTCATTCCTTGCCATGGCAGCATTATGCTTGCAACAAGACTCGGGGCCATGTGGACAGAAGCTGTGGTTTGATTTCTCGTCAGTGGATGTCACATGATGATATGTAGCCCACACAGCCTTGTGCATCTCATCCACATTCCCAGAATGGGATTTCAGAGCCCAGCCGTAATAACTCGTCAATTTTGCGATAAGGTCACCCGCGAGGCGGTCCTTGCCACTGCTGCTGTCCCCTTTGTGCTTCTGCACATGGTTCGAGCAGTCTTCTTTTTCAACATTTATGAAGCCGTACACCTTAGCTTCTTTGACAGCACTGTACAACCGGCTGTCACCATCACAAAGCATGGTGGTGTACCTGAGGCCATGAAGCGAAAGGGAGCGCTGAAATAAAATCATTGCTGCCTCTACTTCCATTTGGCCAGCCTTGCATGAGGTATTTTTCTGGCATGAATGTTTGGCTTTCCATTCAGAGTATTCTGGGATCTCGGGTTTTTGACCACATTCACAGCAGAGGAAAAAATTAGAAAGCACAACATAGTCTAGCAAATAACCTGAAAAGACTTCTACCACAGTGGCTATACCAATGTGAGAGATGTGTCCTTTTGTGTGCCAGCTTCCATCAAAAAAGACAGCAATATTACCGGGGATGCCGAAATCGAGATCCTTGTAGAGGCACTTTACCACTGTGGCACACAAAGTCAAATGTTCGGCACAAGCTCTCGTTGCTGCTGGCTGAAGCTTCATTTTCAAGTACTCTTGGTACGTTTTCGTGTGAAGGCCCCGATGTGAAACACCGATAGCGGCAAAGATGTCATTTAGAGCTGTCTTACCATTCCTTGTGCTCTGAACCGCACGCGCCGTGCGAATGTTGATTTCGAACGGGTTGCAGTTACTGCTGCCACCAACCCGTTGTGACCTCCATTTCGAGCCAACTTCTCCGCAGTTGCCGCAATGAAGCTTCAGTTTAATTTACCGGCTACACCGTACTCACGCGTGTCACGTTCGACAGTCAACTGACCACGGCACACTCGGCAAGCGGAATGTTCGTTTAGTAAACAGTTCACCATGTCGAGGTCAACCACGGTATACATCTAGGCCGACGAACTTTGGGTGCCGCGCTGACTCGCGAGAACACTCATTTTGCGATCGGTTGCCGAGACCGACGAAAGTTCTGCTGCTTTTTGCTATGCGCGATGCTCAATGAGTTTTCGGTCAGACGATGTCAAAAATGTCGCGTCTATCCTCGCAGCTTGATCGCGCGTACCGTAAAAACCGGAATATAAGTCGAGATATTTTCAATAAAATAATAAGATGAAGTCGCCCCTCGTCTTATATAGTGGTGTCTAGCCGAAAGTGCGACGCTGTCTGGCAACGTGACTTGCATGTGCTTGTGAAGCCGAACGCGGTCATATCTGCATCCAAATCCAATTGCAGTCTGTTTTTTTTTTGTCTGTTTTCTTTGTGTTCGTGATTTGCTTCCGATCTGTTCCGAGTTTTCACACCGCATGACAGTGCGCTGCATTTTTAGTGGCCTTTTTTTTTTTTCGTTCACTGAATATGTCTAGCAGTGCGAGGAGGCAGTACTCAGCTGCATTTAAACTTGATGTTAAGTTCGCAGAAGTGAACGGGAATATGGCTGCTCAGCGCCACTTTGGTGTATCAGAAAAAAGCGTGCGCTATTAGAGGGCGCAGAAAGGGAAGCTGCAGATGTGCAATCCTCAAAAAATGTCGTTTCGTGGACGAAGTGCCGTTCATCCGTAGCTGGAGGATAAGCTAGCAGACTTTGTGCAGGAAGTTCATGCGTGCTCGCTGCCAGTGACCGTGGGTACCATTCGCAAGAAAGCCGTGGAACTCGCTTGAGAAGCTGGGCTCAGGAGAGAAGAGTTTCGTGCAACAAACTCTTCGGTGCGTCGATTCATGAGACGCAAAGAGTTTTCTCTCCGGCGGTGCACATCCATCTATCAAAGCTGCCGTGGGAGTTCGAGGACAAGCTCATAAACTTTCAGCGCTTCGTGAACCGGCTTCGGGAGCAGAACGACTACATGATGGGGCAGATTGGCAATGCCGATGAGACTCCCGTGTGGTTTGACATGCCTTCGTCGACCACGATCACGCAGCGCGGCGCCAAGGATGTGAAGCTGTTGTCCACTGGCAACGAGCACTCGCGCTTCACCGTTATGCTGGCATGCACGGCAGATGGTAGAAAGCTTCCGCCCTTCGTCATTTTCAAACGCAAGACAATGCCAAAGGAAGTGTTCCCCCCTGGAGTTGTCGTTCGCGTCAACAAAAAGGGATACATGGACAAGGCCATGATGCTCGAATGAATACGAGTGGTGTGGAACCGTCGGCCAGGTGCACTGCTGCGTCTTTGCAGCATGCTGGTGTTAGATGCGTTTCGTGGCCACTTAACCGACGCAGTGAAACGCGCACTCAGCGACGAGAAAACGGACCTCGCCGTGATACCAGGTGGTATAACGTCCACCTTCCAGCCGCTCGACGTTGTGCTAAACAAGCCGTTTAAGGACCGAGTGCGACTGGAATACCAAGAGTGGATGTCCGGCGACAACCCCAAGACACCGACGGGCCGCCTACAAGGCCTCCGCTTGCAACTGTTTGTGGCTGGGTGCTTTTCGCCTGGCGCTCGTTGCCGGATTCCATGGTGCAAAATGCTTTCAAGAAATGTTGCATCAGCAACTCGCTGGATGGCACTGAAGACGACGCACTGTGGGAGGCGGCCAGCGACAAACTCTCGTCTTCAGAAGACAGTGGTGCTTCGTCGGACGAATAGGAGCAGTTGCGATGGTGGTTGAGGGGAGCTCCGACAATCGGAGTGCGGTGCGCCCAATTCGCTAATAAATGTGGTTCGGCAGTTTTGGGTTGTTTTCTTTTTTTTTCTTTTTTGGTAACCTGAACTTGGGGGGTCGACCTATAGTCCGGTTTATACGGTACTTGAAGTACTGCAGGCGGCGGTCGCAGTTGCCGCCACGCTTTCTTCGGCTGCGAGATCTGCTGCAGCAGCATTCTCTGCTGTCTTAATCACAAGCGGCGGCGTTGTTTCCTGGCGCCTTGTTGAAGTATCACCACAATCAGCTGGTTCCGATGGCACAGTGGTCGCCGTCGCGATCGCTTGTGTTGCAACGCCGCTTCAACGCGGTATCCGTTGCGCTCTTCCACCAAGATCTGCAGATACCTTCGTCGGCAGTTGCGACGATTTATGGCACTCTGAGCGCGTGTCGCCACTGGTAGAAGTTATAGCGATCGAAGGCTGCCTTTGTGTCGGGCTGCTGCATCGCGGCGACTGCTGGTCTCCTGTCCCGCTCGGCTCTGCCGATGTATCCTGCGCTGGCTGCGATGACTCCTTGGGCTGCACAGCACATTTTTTCCGTCGCTTGCCAAATTTGTGAAGTGTGTGGAACTTTTGAGCACGATTCGGCATCTCTATTTCGATTGCAAAACTACAAAACTTCTGAAATGGCGGTGACAATGCGCGTGATCACCAGTGTTGTCAGTCCCCGAGCTCCAATCACAAGCCGCTGTTCACTCACGTGACTGCTATGGACCAATGATACCGCACTGTTTTGTCGCTTGTTTTTGCCTGATAGCGCAGCCTGGCTGCAGCATTGAAGGTTTGTTCCTGGCGGGAAAGCGAGCTCAACAGAAGTTCTTTCAAACGAGACTAAGATGGCCGCGATCCGATGAGTGATTAGTGCGATCCAAGCAACGCAAAATGGGGCTGTTTTCGGCGATTTCGTAACCAAAACCAAGTGCTGGGATAAATAAACACGACATTTTTTGGCTCAACGACACGTCATTTCGAGTTCATTTTTTGTTGGCAGATGCAGGATGACATGAAGATAACGAAAATCCCCAAACTGTAAATCGATTTTTTTTTGACGTTTTTTTTCGTCGCCAAGACCCTTGTTAGCTCGTTGGGACCGAAAAGTGATAAAAGAATTGCATTTTTAATTGGCATATTTGGTTTCTGCAAGTATTTTTCTATCTGTCTAGAAATTTTCACCCACCAGGTAGTGGTCATTTTTTTTTTTTTTTTTTGTAATGTCATTCTGACTGTCTTGATTCTTGGTGCTAACACAATGCAGAACCTGCAAAAAATGGGGAACCTACTTGAAGGCTTCTTTATAATTTGCCACCACCTGTGTCTGAAGCTTTACTAGAACCAATTCATGAGCGCCTTTATGAGTAATTCAAAACTTGCACACCATGACTTGCGTTTTTTTAATTATTGAGTGTTATCAGTTTTTTTCAAATTTTTTCATAAAATAAAACTAAATTTACGACTGTTCAATTTTGAGGGCGCAATATCTCTGAAGCTAGGGCAGATACAGCAATAATTATTTTCGCAATAGCAACCTGTACGTGTATGAAATGCAAGTATGGGAGCAGATTTTAGAGCACAAACCTTTTTAAGTAAATACTCATCAAAATTGTAACACAAAACTAATTTTGAAAATGGAAAGTTCATTTGGCTGTAAAATAATAAAAAAAGGCCAAAAAAAGAAAACGGTTGCATACTTTCAGCCTCTAGTCATTAGTCTATGTTGCCATATCTTAAATATCACTTATAATTATGCACTTTTGTTTTCTATGGAGGCCTTAAACAGTAGTGGGTGAACTTATGTTATCTCAGGAACAAAAATGAGTTACAGGAAAAGTAATTACATATTTGAAATCAGCAGAAAAAAAAATGCAAAAGCCTGTGCACTTCGGTCCAGATTACTGAGTAAATAAACAAAAAGCCTAAGAGGAGTCTGCCCTCTTAATACCACGGTTACACAAAAAAATGTTTCAGGGCCCCTTCCAAAATATTCCCAGTCCAAAATATTGATCAAGTTCGAATTCTTGGAGTTGGAAAAATCTGTCCACAACTGTGCCGAGGTTTTACAAACCTGTACGTATTACGACAGTGTAAGCCTTGTCCCGACTTCATCGCGTATCTGGTAGTGAATTGGAGAAAGTGAATGTTCTCATAGCCTTAGTGTCTGATAAAGACTTAATTCTAGCCTCACAATGCTTAGCTCACCTCGCATTTGCCAACGTCAAGTGCCCGAAGCCTCGGACACGAGCGAGCCAGCACTTCCAGAGTCGCATCCGAGACTGCCTCACAGCCTCGGGCATTGAGGTAGCGCAACCGATAGCAGTGTCGGCACACCTGCTTCAGTCCAGCGTCGGACACCCTCTCGCACTTGGCTACGCTGAGGTAACGCAAGTGTGGGCCCAGCTTGGCAAGCTCGTACAAGCCGAAGTCGGTCACCTGAAATTATCGCAGAAATACTTGCAGCACGTCCTCTCCACGAACACCAAACAACCAATGTGAGAAAGCATTAACCTGCAGTTGCTCATTGAAAGATCACAGCTGTCAATTGATATTCTAGGCCAGGTGAGAACAAAAGCATAGTCATCAAGACAATAAAAAGTTTATTTAGCTTACAGTGACCTAAGAACATCTCTAATAATGACTCGGACATAAGTTTGCTCGAAAAATCGGTCAAAAAGATGCATTAGTTCTATTTAACAGTGCCTTTACGATGTCCAGATAATTCAAAAGGCCTGAATGCCTTAAGAATCCATCAGCAAGTGCGGATATCTCAGTAAAGAACATAGTTGCTGCTTTTTGAAGCAGAAAAAGCGGTTTTTGAAATGTGGCATTTTTGAAATCTACATCTATTATTCTCCTTATCTGCCAAGTTTCCCATCTTGAAAGGCCATATTTCAGCCGTAATATCAATTTAAAACATGCCCGGCGGCCGGTTTTTTATCTGTGCCGACGCTAAAATGACGCATATTCAACTGCGCCGCGCTCGCGTTCAACTGCCTCGAAAGCGGCCATCTTGGTCGCGTTGGAAAGAGCAAGTTTTCGACTTCAAATATCGCGCACTTTCCGCTCCGTTAGGCCTATTGGTTGAATACAAAAAGATCGCCAAAAATGCAAGAAGCGCACATTCTCATTCGCTGTAGCAAGCACGTGACGAAATAGCGCCATGTGATTGGCTGTCCTCATCCTCAGCTGTCTGCTAAACACTCTAGAGGCGCACTGCGGGGCGCCATTTTGGATACGGCTCTTGGGTGGCAACGCACGACTATGGGCCCTCCGCTCCACAAGTTTGCTTCCAAGCACAAGTATGGAAAGAAGAGGAAGAGGTCTATTCTCGCTAACCTCCACAAACGCCCCGCCGCTTCGCAAGTTGTGGAGAATGACCTGCCGACGGTGCCAAGCGATGGCACCGATGCAGCGGACGACGACGAGCGAGTGTAAGGCCTAGGCGGAGAGCTGTCGAGTACGTGCGAACAAATCGCCAGCCGCATCCGTCGCGATACAGTTATGAGGACGCCTTCAGATCTGCAGCTGATAAAGAAGAGAGCCGACGAGCAACTGCAAGAGCTCGCGTCACTGCGGCAGTGACCAGTAAGTCGAACATTCTGTCCGCTAGCGATGTGGCGACCGTTTCGGTGAACGCACTTCTTCTGGAGTACATGAAGTGCAACACTTGCGGTGGCAGCGCAAAAATAAGCCGGAAGAAGCGACAGTACGGCCTTGCAGTCAGTCTGGTGCTCACATGCTCGAAGTGCAGCGACAAAGGGTCTGCATGGAGCTCGCCGCGAGTGGATGGGACTCCGAAGCTAAATCCGTTCGCTATAAATATTCTGGCTTCGGGAGCGATGCAGAGCACTGGCAATTGGCAAATGGCGTTTAATGATATTTTTGCAGCCATGAATATCTCACACCGCGTGCTGCACACAAAAACGTGGCAGATGTACCTAAAAACGAAGTTGATGCCTGCCACAACTCGGGCAGCTGAGACGCTCACTACTGAGTGCACGAATTCGGTCCGGCAGCTGTACAGCACATTGAATTTTAGCTACCCAGTTCCTACGACGGGTTTTGGATGACTCGTGGGCACAGTTCCCACATTAGTGTCGGCATCGTAATCGAACTTTTCACCGGACTTGTGTTAGATTACGTTTAGTGAAGTATGAAGTTTAGTGTACTGTAATATAAGAAATAATGACCCAATCAAAAAAGTGCTTCCTATGTTGTATGTCTCATGCTTTCTACTATCAATCCCTATGTCAATTATAAATTTTTGACTGGTGGTTATTTTTCTAGTATTGTGGTAAGAACAATAGAAATTGTTATGTTGATTATTTAATTAACTAATGAAGCTACAGAAAGAATTGCTACACTTTTAAAATCAGGAGAACAAACTAAGTAAGCATGCCAACTCTTATCATATTCAGTCCAAAAATAGATACAGAGAGCCCTAAGACCCATGTCCCCCCTTAAACACATGCAAAGGCGCCACCAGAGTTGGCAATTAAGCAAGTTGGGATGCCTTGTGCCGCCATTGTGCTCTGCGCACTTCTGGCCATGTGTTCCATTGTTGCAATAAAAGCAACTCTTTAAATTTTCTTGGGAGGCAAGGGAATGTTAGAAGGACTTTAATAGCCACTTATGATGTATCGCAGCTCAAAACGCTGCTTGAGTGAGAAGCTAGGCGGATTCGTGCAAATCCTGATTGTTTATGTTTTTTTTTTCTTTGTGTGTGGGTCGGCAGGCCCTTAAAACAGAGAATGTCTCGATGATATTTCGGCATGCTTGCGTATTCATTCAAGCACCATGACGTGCAGCAGGTGCGCATACATTGATAAATGCTCAGAAACGCATTAAACATGTTTTAAAAACTAGCAATTACACACTTTCGTAGACTATCGCACACACGCTCCCCATGCATACGCTCCCGAGATCTTCAGTACCATGTGACTACAGCGCCGCCCCTACTGTCACCCACTGAGAATCAGTCGAGATGTGGCGCGGCCACCTCGTTCATTCCACTGCCCTCTTCTAGTACACTGTAGCAGTATGTTAGTGTACGTTGTGTCCGTTTTGTGGTTTTGTTATGGGAAGACGAGGAAGCTACATGGCTGCTTTTAATTTGAAAGTGATTGATCATGCACTAAACGATGGCAACAGGGTCGCCGATAGGCACTTTGGAGGTGAAGTTCTGTGTTCGCTACTGGAGACAGCAGCACGAGCAGCTGAAAACCACGAAGATGCGCTGGGACTCCCGTGTGCCTAAAACTGGGATGGATGGTAAAACTTAATTTCGTCAGACGGTAACTGCAAACAATTCCGTGTTAGATGGTTATCAGCCCGTGGTAGATGTCATACGCTAACCTTTAGCAAGCTCCCGTTGAGTGAAAAACGCTAATGCTATGCCCGCAAGCTTTACATACAGCATTCCAAAGAACTCTATTTGCTTGCAGCTTTTGTGTCTCAAGTAAATCTCGCCTTGTGTTCCAACCTGTGGCTTTATTGTAAAGGTAAGTACTTCTCAAATCTTGTAGTTGTTAGCATGATAATCTCAATTTGCAGCCACTTCGTTTTCTTTTTTTTTTTTCCCCGCTTCGTATGTTTTTGTGAAAATTTTCCTCGCGCAATTCTCACATACCCTAACTTTACATCTGTTTTCCACAAAAAAGAGTATGAGAAATATGCGAGTAAACACGGTATATGCAGACTGGTACTATGGCACCTTATCGTGGTCTCATGCAGAACTCTGGTTCTATGTTCACCTCTTTTCACATTCTCTCAGAGTTCACTTTCACCTTTAGCAGTATTTGTTGTATCGGTTATGATGGACAACGCACACTAACATTCAACACAGGAAAGGGTAGAGGCAAAGCCAAACAAATGCAATAAAAATTATGCCTTGCCTGGACGCAGTCACTGACGCTAAGCTCTCTCAGCACAACACAGTAGCTGGCCACGCACTTCAATGCAGCATCAGTGAGTCGCACACAGCGCCGCAAGAAGAGATGTGTGAGTTGCGGGCATGCTCTGGCGAGGGCTTTCAGCCCAGAGTCCTCGAGGGCTTGACAGTCCGTGAGGTCGACATACTGCAGGTACAGTTGCCCTCCGCCCGATGGAGTCAAGCTACCCAGAGATTCGTTCACTTCCAAGCTGGTCCCATGCCTCGGACGTATGCTCGTCACCTGGTAACAGCCTACACATAGGGCAGAGAACCACACACCATGTCAGAATAGATATGCATGACGGCTATTGGAAGTTGCAAAGAAGCACAAGGAATGCATAGACAGACAAAGGAGAGATGTACAGAGAGTCACTCAACTGTTACATTCTGCCTTTGCCCACGCTTTTCTAGCACTAAACTATGAGTTCTTTGTACATACTAACAAATCCCCAATACTGCTATTCTCATGATTATCGAGAGATTTTTGCATTATGTTCAAGTAACCAAAAAAAAAAAAACAACCTCCCAAGCACTCCGTACAAATGGTTCGCCAACGAAAGCTGAAACGTGCGGCCCCACGTGGGTCCAACCTCACGTGGCACTGAAGCCTTTCACAGTTATTGGTTACTTGTTCGTGCTTCTTAATGAGTTAAGACACACGTATGGCTTAGATTTACCAGTGTTTATTTCACCTGCCACACACTGTGCCCCGCATGATCACGGTCGCGAAAAAGTGTAATGAGCGGTTGAATGTGTTTCGCAATGTGCTAATCACAGTTGTTGTTCTCCAACCGTAGGCGGTCACAGACGTCGCAGCCAGAGCCAATGTGCTGCTGGAGAAACTCCTGCCAAAAGCGGCCGCAATGCCACTTGTTCAGCATAGGCACTGCGCTGTGTTGCCTATAGGTAACAAGAAATTAGGTTCCTTTTTCTCTTCATTAATAACCACGCATTCATTGTTCGGCACAGGCATTATTGCAGCGTTTGACATCGCAAGCTAACACGGCGGCGTAGGTTTGCAGAATCCGCCTGCAACCGCCGCTTGCATTCCCATTTGTGATTTAGCGCGGCTTGGCAGGCTGCCGGATCATCGGTACACAGCTGCTGCCTGCACTCAGCCTCCCGGACTGCACCATTGGCTTGGTGAATGCGAGCTCTCTCACTTTTCTACTGTCATCGCTTCTCTAGAGTTGTCCTTGGCATACTCATGCTGAAGGTTTCAGGAGAAACTGATGTGTGCGTGCTCGGCACCCTGAGTGACAAGATGAACGATGTCACTCACAATTGAACTGATAACACAGCCGATCGAAACCACCTAGTGACACCGCTGCCGAACGGTTTTTTTGTTTCTCCTAGCCGCATACAGCTTTCACTGTAAAAAATAATTGGCTGTTTTGCTTAAATGGAGAAACAATGACACTGACAGCAAGTTTTAGTGATGCGCTTGGACATTTCAATTGTACTGCTGCTGCAAGTGGACGTTGCATGCCGAAGAAACATCACCCTGGCAGCTACCAAGCATCACACAATGCAGGTGTGAGTAGTGTCACCAGTGGCGTAGCAAGCATTCAACCTTCATAATGCACAAATAGAGATCGATGAAAAACTGCCAACCAGTGAAATATAACATAATATAATAATATAAGGTTAAACTGAACTTTTATTGCTCAGACAAGAGCGTACGTCCAGCACTGAGTGGATTATTGCGCTTATGGTGTCTGATGTGTTTGAGTGCTATCATGATAAAAACCTTAGTGCAGAGGCATCTATGCATCCTACCTCCACAGGAATACCATCACATTGGTAGGGACAGGACATGCCACCTGGTACTTATTACTGATATACTGTGAATAACATGACTCAATCGTGAGCAGCCTTCTTTGATCACATAGCCAGTGGGAATGTTAAAAAAAAAAATGGAGTCTCATCAGTGTTTCCGGTCTGGCCTACGGGGTACTTCTCTCTCCTCATATTATTCACATTGTACTGAAACTAGATGAACATCTCTTCATAGTCAGCCGGAAGCTTATGGCAAATCCTTCGGTGAAGCGGGCATCTGGCATGACGCATGAACTTCTGCACCCACGAGCGACTGGCCACGGGGCATGCCAAACACAAGGCAGGTGTCATGGGGCATGCCAGCTTCATGTGCAAGCTCCCGTGCCTTGATATGAACGAGTTCGGCGCTGACAGGTAGATAGCTGCCGTAACGTTGGCGCACGAATTCTACCAGGTCCTTTTTCGATTTTCGGGTAACGGCCAGTTTTGGGCCCACAGAATGCCTCACGAGTCAGTAAAGCTTGGAAGATGTGGTCACGATGTGGTCACGGCGTTTCCTCCAACCTTGAACGGTTGACTCCGTGACTCCAAGATGCTGTGCTACACTTGCATTGCCCCTCTCTTCGGCAAGCAAGATCGCCCATTTTTTAAACGTGGCATTGTATTGATTCCGGCTGTTCATTATGACAGGCAAGGCGAACAGTGCGACGAGCAAGCGCAAGGCGTAGGAAGGTGATGTTTTTCCGAAATGACTATTGTCCACGAGTTGCCACTGTGGCTTCCATGGTGCTAACAGTGCCAGTTGCACAATGCGATCGCCGTAGCACACTGTAGTGGCACATGCGTCAACTGCAATGCGCACGAAGTTTCCGTACTGAGCGACGGTGCTCCGAGACGCCAGGCAGGCGTCGGCGCCACTGTGCCTTCCCGCGCGCAGTCACTGGTGCAAGTTAGAATAAAATGTGCTATGTGGTGCGACAAACCCGCCAAGTTCCTGCAACATGTGGTGCACGTTACAGGGTCGGAGATCTTAAAGAAACAAAAAAAAAAAGGGTAGAAAAAAATTTTGAGCTATATTTGTGTCACTTTTGTCATGAACTCGAATATAACGCGAGGCACCTTTCTAACTTCGCAAATGTTTGGAAAAAAAACTAGCGTTATATTCATGCTAGTATGGTATTCTTTGCCTAAGACGTTTTCATCATTAGAAGGCTTACAATGATAAGTGTACACGCAATACAGTTCAACATCCTCGCTAACGATACTTTAACGAAAACTTGATGTAGCATTTTTAAAATAGTAAAACAGGACCAAAGGAGTTAATTTTAGAGAAGGTTAGAGAAATCAGGCAGGCATGCTACTGTGCTATTTCTATCGTTTATTGCAAGATTGTTCGCTCCTTTCAATCCTGTCTTGCATGACTAATATCGCTTGTCTTTTTTCTTCTCCTCAGTGACTTATAACAGATATTCAAATAAGGCAGAAGTTTGGGGGAAGATGGAAGTTTGAAGAAATAAAAGTATCCTTGTACATGGGAAGTCACTTGAGCCAACGTTATGACAAGTGGTTTCATTGTATTCTCGGAAGCTAGTCTTCTTCATGCAGCTACCTTGAAGAAGACAAGACATGGTCAAAAATGTGGTCCCATTTACACCCTGTGTTCAAAGATATTTTCCTCTCTAACAGATACTGATTGAAGATTCAATTGTTTTATCCAATTAAATCTAGCACATCAAGCAGCATCAGTCCATGGCTCACCAGTGACATCGAGGCGTGACAAGTTGAGGCAGCGTGTGACCACTTCTGAAACACCTACATCTGTGACTTGGGAACATCCGCGCACTTCCAGCGTCCGTAGCTGGGGACATCTCCGAGCCACCGCACTGAGGCCACTGTCAGTCAGGCACAGGCAGCCACTCAGGCTAATGCGCTCCACAGCAGAGCACACACCAGGGGTGTCACGGCTCAGCAACCGGAAAATGGTGCGCAACCCTGAGGTGATGAGATGCACACAGGAAATAAGCTTCTTATGTCAATTGGGGGAAGGTTCGTAAAGCTAATACTCGACCTGGTGCCCAAAATGCAAAACTACTAGAAATGCCCCCAACTTCACTTGAAGTGGCCCTGCAACACTCTTATGATATGATTAGAGTATGCTACTGTTGTCAAGAATTCTGCAAGTATTACTGCACTGGATGCAGCAGGAAATTTCCAATTTAGTGTCAGAAACAGCTAAAGAAATGCCCCTCCCTCCCCGTTCTCGAAGGGAATCGTGAGAAAATGCAAATGTATTTCTTGCGCCGAGAGAGGTTACCGTTGCCGTCAGACATTCACTATCATCGACTTTTGCCGTAACCTTGAGAGGCGCCCAGCCAGCGAACGGTCGACAGTGAGAAGCGAGCAGACGGGAGAATGGGGCGCCAGCATTCTCGGCTCGGCGTTGGCGTTTCACAGCTGCGTCTCAAGCACACATTTACAGATGTTCTTGAGAGGTGCCCAGCTAGTGAACGATCGAGAGTTAGGTGTGAGCGGACGAGAGAGTGGGGCGCAGGGAGGAGAGAGAGCGAACAGGGAGAAAAGGAGCTGGGAAGCACTGTGCCTACCCTCTCCTACACTCTCTCGCACCATACGCTCCAGTTGCTAATGACGAGGATAAGTGCGCGTGCCCACAGTTGTTGCTATGGGAGAGGAAGCGAGAGCAGAGAGATAACACCGGCCAGCGCGCAGACAACGCCAGCCAGCGCGCAGACAACGACGGATGCCTGACATAGCCAGACTAAGGAATGCATTCGCATTTAAAATTGCTATTTCGTCCAGGGCGCCACTTCAACTATGGGATGATCAAGACCAACTACGCAGCAAGCAGACGTGCCAGGTAATGAATGATTTCATGAACAGTTCTCTGACAGATCTCTGAGGCCATGTACTGCACAACCTAACTACAAGCTCACTCCTGGCAAATAAAGGAGAAGAAAAAGCACACAGGTGTTGCAACAAACTTGCCTATACTTGATGAAATACAAAAATTTTGTACGGTCAAAGCCTCAGACCTCTACATTTCCTGATCAAATTGTACAGAAAATATGCGAATGCATGAGCTCTGTGTGTGTGTGTTTTTTTTTTTTTTTTAATGTTTGCACTTGGGTCAAATGTAATGACAACGGAGTCCTGCTACATGCCAGCTCTATGTCAACAGTGCACTAAAGTTACACTATAGCAACACTAGTATGAACCAAAATCACATCACAAGTGAGCGAACGTGTTTTATAGTTCACCATGACAAAGCTTATCCCCAGCATGTAGCTTCCATCCAGCATGTTCATCGGAATGAAAGAGAAAAAACACTTAATGTGTGCAACAAATCCCTGAAACCTTGGCTATACTTGACGGATATTAATATTTTTTGCAGCAATCGGATTATTAAAAAATAAACTCAAATACTGAAGTCACTCAATAATTACTTTAAGAAAGTATTTTAGAGTGCCTTCAATGTATGCGGGGCTTTCTAAGGTCCAGCAGTACCTTTGATATGGCTATGTAGTTCTAGGCCTTCCCCTTCACTCATGATGTAATTGAATATAGTTAGAAAAAAAAATGTCACATCAGAACACCCTAAAGGGCATGAGCACTTTTGAATTATGCAGCCATCAAGATGCACTTGCTGTAGCTAAGCACACAGAATGAATTGCCATGTACAGTCAAGCATCGAATTTGTGAGTTCATGCCCAGAAGCCTTGACTAACACGGCACACACAAAAGCTTTTGGGTGTTATCACATGACAGTTACCCTGGTCAACAGGCAGGTGTTCAGATGCCAACACGATGCTGGTCCACAAGCGAGGCTCCCAGGCTAGGAAATACCACCGACGACAGACGCGTGCGCACCGACACAGTTCGTCGCTCGAAAGGCAGGCGAGAACACGAAGCAGCAGGTCGTCGGGCAGTCGGTCAAAGAGGCAGCCCTTTGCCGATTGTCGCTGGTGGTGGACACTGCTCGTGGTTGGCCATCCAGGTGCGGGAAGCAGCGTGTGGTAGCCCAAGTCACCGGGTGAGCTGCTGCGAACCTTGGGGAGGGCGCCTCCAAGGCCTGAGCCTCCGGCCATGCACTCCATGACTCAGCTGCCTTGACAACTACTGCAGAGGGGTCCCCAGGATGCTCTAGGAACCCCTGGGTGAGGCAGTGGGGCAATGGAAATAGTATACTTTAATTTCTTTTTGAAGCATATTTCAAAGCAGACGGCCAAATATGCCATGCAAGTCCTGAAGTTCAAAGCATCGGCAAAGTGCTTCACAAATATTCCAATTTAGTCTGAATGGTATTTTGCATGCAACCATCATGTAAGCTGCAAGAAATGAACAATTTAAAAGATGGCTCATTGTTGAATGGGCCTCAAAATGAGCTATGTAATTAACTTTTGTCATCACCCGAAAATGGTTGTTTTTCATATCTCAGGAAGATCGTTTTTGCCAGTTTAAAAAATACTCCACCATGCAATGCAGCATACCAAACTTTAAACAATGAAATGCTCTTTCCAAAAAACATGTGTTCTAGACCAACAAAGTATTTTAGAATCAATAAAAATGTGAAAAATGTGGAATATTTGGTTGCCAGCTGGTAAACAGTGCAATAAAACACACTATATGTACAAAACTATTTGGAACAAAGGAAATCCAGAATGTAAATTCGGTAGATAAATGACCCAGAATATTAAATATTGTACAAAATGTTTCTCTTCACATCTGTTTCTCTTCACATGTTTCTCTTCTCTTCACAAAGGAAATCAGAACCAATGTGCTGCTTCATTGCTCATCCTGTGCAGTAAAGCATTGCATGATTTTTTGTAAGACACAAGACACAAGTGTACTTGTACGATTTCCTCAGTAAATTTTTGTTGTCTGGCTATAAGAGTCTCCAGGAGTTCTAATATAGATGAATACCCGTGATGTCACTAATCCCTCTATAAATGAGATGTCAAATGAACTTCGCTATTTCATCTAGCGTCACCTCTTTCCACAAGCCACCTCACTCCGCATATGTTGATGTTCCAATATGTGCATCCAAGCATATTTCTTTGCAAATTGCACATATCGTATTAAAGAAAGAGACAATATCGTGTGCAGTTCTAAAACGTATCGCACTGCTCCGTAGTCAGGGCCAAGATGTGCTCCGGGGGCCTTCTTGTCGTTAGGAGAAGCTCTGCAGCCAGCGCCAGCACACCGCGCCCCAGCGAAGTGTGGACCACGCACGTAACCAGAGTAGCTATAAGATTGTGCACAAAGGTCAGAAGCCATATGCACTTGCGGCGAAGACAACTTGAGGATGTAAACAAAACATTACCATGAATGGCCGCGAATGTCTCAGGCTCACTCAAAACAACGTCGCCATAAATCTTGAATTTGAGGTGCTGTCATCCTCGAACTCTTATCTAAGCTCGTCCTCACTCAAATCAGGTGGGGTTGCAACACAATTTCGAGCAACGCACATGTTCTGCAGCGCTGGTGCGCACCCATGCGCACGTGCCGACAATGGCATAGGGGCAACTAGTGATCCATCCTAGATGCGACCCTGTGTCTGATAGAACTATACAAGCAAAATGAAAGCTCGTAGAAACTGTCAGAGAAGGCCACCTCGACACTTAGAACACGCGGCGAACGAACCTTAGTATATATTTTTTGTAGAACAATTTTTCCCTGACTCCCAGGAACAGCTCTCTAAAGAATAGCTGGCACAAATTTGTGGCAATTATTACTTCTCAAAATATTAAAATTGCAAAGATGACACTTTAATTCGATATTTGGCTTGCAAAGGTTCTTTTCATTACAGAACTTCGATGTTACGAAGCATAATTATGGCGGGCACACACTTCTGTCAAGTTCGCCACCCTAGTGCACTTTTCGAACAATACATCAATAGCCGGTTATTGTTGACATGTCCCTTGCACGTACATTTAATGAGCAAGCTTCACCTCCTCTAGTTCAAGACCTGGCCACTAAGTGCAGCTGTTAGTAAAAAGCACACTAAATTAGTTACTTTCGGCTAGTTCTGCATAATTAAAGTTGAGTTTACCAATATCAGCACCCAATCGCTCAGTTCAGTAAAAAAAAAAGGGGAGGGGGGGGGGGGGCTGCGAGACCGCCTGACTCGACAAATGTGGTCACACCGGTAAAGCTGACTGCCACATTACAGGAGTAACTACAAGAAAGCGGCAAGAAAAGAAAGATGAATGTTTGTGATGAGAATTTCGAAAACGAGGTAGGTGGTGGAGCCAACGTTTTGATAAGTGGACTTGTCTTCCCAAGCCCGCTGACTGCGTTGAAGGCCTGCCCCTACCCCGACACTAAAAGCCTGCAAGCTCGCTTTTCCCGATGTACAAAAATCAAAAGCCCAAGCTTGGCACGGTCCACTTTACATTATAAGGGTTTGTTGTGGAGACAAGATGTTATTTTCCAATTAAGTGATATTTTAGTCAACACAAATTGTAACGTGAGCATACAAGGCATGACAGGTAATATATATACACATATTACAAGCTGTCATTTACAAATAGCAAGCTGCTCATTGATTCACCTTCAGTGAAATGCGGTGCTCCTACGTTACATATACTGCCGAATTACTATATTGTTAACGGCTTGCACTTGCAGCCGGAATTGCCAAAATACTTTTTTGCGAGCATAGCAAGCATGAGATATTTAGACTTTTTCTTCCTCCAGAAGTTAGGCACTTCAGATGCAGGACAGATGAATGATTTAATAATTGGATAACCACGAAGCTCACCTGGTGTGCTCATCACTACATGCCAGGAAGTAGTACTGACACATTTATATTTATGGCTTGATATCGGCTTTGCGCCTGGCCCATGCCCAGCCCGATGAAAAACAATGTAGCCCGAGCCTGGCACGGGCTCCACAAAGAAACGCGTCGGTCTGCCCAAGACTGGCTAGCGGGCCAGGCCAAGCTCAGTTAATCGACGTAGCGCATTTTGAAACATAGGACAAGGGAAGGGACAGAAGGGAGCGCTCCCTTCTGACCCTTCCCTTGTCCTATGTTTCAAACCGCGCTACGTCGATTAAGTGTGTCGTACCAACATGCCCAACTTTATACTCTAGCCAAGCTCAGGCTAACTCGAGCCCATGCACATCTCTAAAAGCTGCATACTAGTAGCATACCAGAGTGGCAATAAAGATAGTTTTTGGTTTCTTGTCTGCTTGTGAGTTGGTCACATTGTTAATGTTCCCAGCCTCTATTTTTCAGGGCAGATTTGAATTAGCAATTAAAGGAGCAGTTGCATCAACTTGATGAATGTCACAATTCTTGCCTCGACGCGCAGTTATCGATCCAGTAGTAATGGTTCGCAACTAATAATGCAATAGAGGGACAAAATAATTCATGTAATATCTATTAGTATGACCAGTATCGATCCCAATTCGACCAGTATCGATCCCAATTCAAAACGGGTGCAAAGTCCGCCAATTTTCAGCACTGCCAAGCGGTCACCTTCTGCAGTCCCGCCCCATCTGATAATGTGGTCACATGACATGTTCACGTGAGTTTCAGTTCACATTTTGTCTGCTCAGCACGCATGTGTAAAGGCATGTCTTCACCACCCCGCCTGCCGTCAGCAGCGTCCACAAGCGACGATCAAAACACTGAAGATTATGGCTCACGACAAATCACTTGAAACTTCACAACGAAAACGCAGGATTCACACAAACGCACTGCACGAACCAAGCAAAACAAATTAAGCGAGGCCGTCGCTAGGCAGCCAGGCGTCACCGCCAGGCAGTACCACATGGAGACACAGCGATGACAACCCTCAAATTGTCTACGTCATAACGGCTCACTCATCGTCACACAGCACCTGGGTGTGGCCTAGGAGCTCGGTGAACATGTCAAAATCCCATCGATGTCTCATGGCCAAGAACGCACCATTGAGCCTATGGACGCTCTTTACACTCGAAATAAAATAACTTTTATGCAACGGACGCCATTCATACTTCGCTAAAAAAACTTATGAATGTCAAGCAATGGAATGAATGCCACATTTTCAGTTTGAAATTTGATGTCAATGCTCCTTGAACAAAAGACAACTTGAAGCACTTGAAGCAGGACTTCCACCACTGCTGGCATTCTGAATGTGCCAATAATAAAGCTCCCCCCCAACATACCTTATTTCCTCGCATATAACCTGCACCAAGGAATGGAAAAATGTGTTTACGAAGTGTGGTGAAGATTGCATGAGGAGATTATAAGTTTGTTTTTTCCCCCCTTTTCGCAGAGATAATGTTAGGGGTCGCGAGTTATATGCAAGCAAGAAAATACGGTATCTGTTGGCCGTTTGAAGCATGAGGTGTCCCGCAGGACTTATATTTGTGATTTCTGTGCATTACAAGCAGCAAAGACAATAAACACTGGGCTAATGTCTTATAAAACATTCTTGTTAACTAAAGTTTCTATATATTGGTTCTGGTTGAAATCTATAGCTCCACACTATCACTCTGGTGAAGACATCATGTTTCTTGAAGCACTTAATTTAACACGTTTCGGCAAGAATTTCGAATTGTTTTTTTAACATCATTTAAGAATGCTTTTCATCGGTAGGGAGCTATTCAATGCAACTTGACTGCATAATTGAATGTGTTTTATGAAGAAATATGGCATGACTAACTGTACAACAATCAGATAAAGATGCTGCAATTGTGAATATTTGCCAAAAATAAACTATCAGTTTATTCAGTTCATTCGCTTTAAAATCTCCAAGACTTTTGTATAAAGTGGTTCAATTTTCACGCATATATCGATCATAGTATATGTCACAGAGACTTACTAGAGCCCGATCTCAAAATTTCTCTAGAGCAACAATTTTGAACTAGGATTTGGACAACAGCTTTTGACATTATAGTGCCTCAAAAATAAAGAAAAAGTGCCTAGTGCAAACTGTGGAGAATGAAAAAATAAATGCTGCTGTAGTGAAGAAGAGAAAGAAGCAATGATCTTGTGCGATCCATCTTTATGTTTGAGCACCACAGCCTATATTTCGCAAGCAACCTGGCCTTCTAATAAATCGTCATACGGCAATGAATTTTTATTTGTCCTAACTGCACTGATCAATAGGAATGTTATCTTAATGTTGACCGCATGGTATTGTTTAATGTGCCCCTAAATCTTAGGGCACTTATGCGTTTTTCCAAAATGTAAGGCGACTGTCACTCCAACTCTCCAAACATTAGGCTCAATTAATACAAGTATACTTTCTCAGTGCACAGAAGTTTAGGAACTAAAGAAGTCAGATAGGACAGAGTGCAAACATCTTCTTTTACTTATTCTCACTGTGATTGCGAGCGTGCAGATGGCCACAACCTGTGGCAGCATCAATAACTAGTATTTGGATCAAGATGCACAAATAAGCTAATGGCTATGGAGTTTGGGTCGATGTCGCCGTCACTTGTGTTAATGGCTAGATAGTGCGCTCTGTCCTATCCCACTTCTTTTTCTAAACTTTCTGTGCACTAACAAATTAAATTTCTTTTTGAATGCAATACCAGCCAGCCCAAGTCACCACTCTTTTACTAGGGCCTTCTCAGGCAGCTGCCACAGGGTGAAGGAGAGAAGAAATGGCGAGTTGTCTGGTTGTTTTTTGTTCATGACACACCTAAAGCACATATGAGCTGTCCTGCTAGACTATGGAAGCCACCAAAACTAATCCATGACAGCTCAAGTACATACCGAACAGCGATAACAGTTTGAATTAATGAGCGAATACTGCTACTCGGCAGCTTGGGAGTCTATACCCTTATTTATCCACATCTTCATAGTAGCAGCGAAGATGCCAGTGCTACCTTCATGCTGACAAAAGCTTTCACACAACATGTGTATTCCAAAGACGCACAATACTTCACATTTGGTCTATTCCTTTCTTTTTGTAATATGTGAGCATGGTTACTCTTTATATCGGCACCTTCAAAGTGGACAAGGAAAGAAAAAATCGTTATTACTAGAAATAACTGCAAATCTGGCCAAAGAAAGCTCTTTGCTTTAAAAGAAAGATGCAGCACACTTCAAACTAGTCATCGAATGAATTCATTAAAGGAGTTCATTGCCTCACAAATAGACTGCTGCAAACATTTTCCTCGTGCTTTAAGCATTTTCTCTTTTCTTTCCTAACAGTGAATGGGCTGGAAGCTGCACAAAGAGGGGATAAAAAGGGGGCAAGCGGCTATGACTGCTCTTCATCCTATTCCTGGCTTTGAGCACTTCCTTTCCTTCGAGCGAATGGCTTATTTTCACGGTGATTGCGAGTCTGTAAAGGGACATGTGCCAGCACCTCGTAGCAGCACCAATAACTTTTCAGCTCATGATGTTAAAACTAGCTAAGAGTCGAGGACCTCGGGCTGATGTCGCATCATTTGCGCTAACGGCATGATTTGTGTAGGAAAGAGGGGACGATTTTTCGCTGACTTTGAGAATTATTTGTGAATTTCAGGCCGCATACTGCGCGCGCTATGTTCATTTCACATGTTCTCCGGAACCTCGAGGTCTGACCATGCTCAAAAAGTGTTGCAAGGATCCTTCTCAGAAAGAAAGAAAAAAAAAAAAAAAACAAGTCCCTCTGCTTCTATACAACGGAAGGAAAGAAACATCATTTTCGGAGATTAGTTGAATGAGCAGGACAGGAACGCTGAAAAGGATAGGCAATCCAGTTCCACCGCAGCTTTCTGACAAGCTTTATTTACGCTTCTATCACAACTCTTTTTTAATGTCGCAGTGGGATGCTACTTAACTAGCTCTTTATATAAGTTATGATGTTCAATAAATGTTCCAGTAGAGTCCCCAGCTCACAAACATTTTAATAATGTTTAACCTTGATTGACAACTTAAAGACATAACAATCATTGTATTAAGGTTATGAAGACCATAAACAAGATATTAAGTCGAAATAAAGTGTTGCTTGTTACTCACACAGACTAGAGGAGAACTGTGTTTTACCATTGCTGCCCATTGCAGCAATAGTTTCGTCATGGCTTGGGCCCCTCAACATACTCATCTGGAAAAAACAAAAACAAATGCAAGAAAAACTTCCTTAACAAGTGCTATAAGACCATGATTACACACATCAAGAAACAGGTTTCCAATGCACTACATTTACACAGCAAAATATACTCAGATGCCACTCCAAGTCTCTGTTTTCATTGAAAGCAATATCTTAATGAGGAGATGAATGCATTCATATGCGCAACATTCCGAACCCAATACTAAAGCACCGCAAGATTTCTATTATACTTGGCGACAACTTATCTTGAAAATGGAGCAAAGGCTAGAAAGACGAGGCTTCCGCACATTCTTTTGTCATTATGGGCTTTCCTTTACAATTTCTCATCATTGTATTACAGTTCCATCGTGTCGAGTCACCATTTGTATTTCCACTCGTTGTGTAAGCGTGATTGATGGAGTTAAACTAAGAACAGAAGTACGACTAAAAACAGAAGTGGGATGTCGCTATGCTGTGTACAACAGCCAAGAAGCAGACAGAGTACGACATTGAGAAACAAGGCCACCATTCGGGTCAAGGCACAGTGCACTCCTCCCACGCCCAATGTGTAGACACCTATTCACATCTATACTGTATTTTCTTGTGTATAACCCACACCTGCATATTACTCCACATTCCCAACTATCGCTATCAAGGCGTGCTGCTTACAATACCAAGAAGCTGCCAACTGATAACCGTAATTCACACTGAAAATGCAATAGTTTCATTTGAGTTGTATATTGGAACTATCCTTAATAATGAATTTATCCCCATTTTTTTACAAGTTGAATACTGCAGGCTCAACTGTGCCTGCAATTACAGTGTGGCTTTCGTAAAAATATACACCTTTTTATAAAAACGTAAGATTATTTAATGTGGTTTAAATGCCATAAATCAGACAAAGATATCACGGCAGTTCGCTTGAAAGTTAAGGCAGTCACTTACAAATAAAAATAAAATTGTCATAGAACACGTATATGAAAACTTAAAGGACACTTGATATTCACCTCCCAAATAGAACATGATGGCAGTGATGAGCCCAATTTGCAAGGTTTCTCATTCACATGATTTGCTTTTAAGCAGACATCTTAAAGTATGCCCCAAGGAAAGCAACGCCCTTACAGACCTTTTCAAGAATGGCTCCCTGGGCGACGCCATAGTCCTTGGCTGCGCAAATTGGTGCGACACCCCAAAAACCCACTGTGGAGGTTTGACTTCAACATTTGTACTCCCACGCGCTGCCCAACTCGAAGTTTTTTCCCCACTATGAAAATATGTATAACATCGGCTATTTTAAAGTCTCCAAGAATTCTTACTGCAAGTATGAGTATGAAGTGCCCCCAAAACCATAGTTCATAGCGAAGTGTACACTAAGCGCTTGTAAGGCAATACGAGCATGCACCTACGCAGCTACACTCTTTTTTTTTATGCTATGTCTGACGATGATCAATTATGCCTGCATGCTCCGTTATGAGTGAGCCTTCAAACCACTCACTTATTGCACAATTCACATAGCGAGGTATCAGGTGCAATTCTATGCTTGTGTCACGCAATATTACATGTGTTAAGGTGATATGATAACATGAAATGACTTCATTCACAGGCTACCTAGAATAATGTTACTGTAATTTCACTTTCATGTCCATTCAGAAAGTGCTGTTTCTAAGGTGTAGCAACTTCAGTTTTCGCGACGTGCTATGCAGCTTTGTTTACGCAGCAGCAGACGAACGCACCCACTACAACCGCAATCGCTGGTTATCAGCGGTATCATTCAAGTAGGTGCCACGTGTTATCGATTTCGGTGTGTTGGTAAACAGTCAGCGATGCAGCGCGTTCTCGTTTACCCATGCTTTGACGAGCTGGGCACATAAACGGTGATATCACATTAACGACAATCGGTTACAATCGAGAAGCGTATGTGATCTCTGCGTGGCCCGACAAGCGTCATTGGACCCTGCAGCAACGAGCATTTTTGATTGCAAGTGGCTTGAGCTCAACCACGAACGAACTATGCCAATTGTATCACCTCACATTCTCTTGCAAACTGGTAAAGCTTTCCACACAAAGAATTTGTGAAGCGACACCACCGCGGTGAAAAAATTATTCGTCCGAGCACTGAACAACCAGTCACGTTTGCGGTCACGACGCGGCGGCCATCTCCGAAGTCTCTAACTCGGCGCTGTTGCACCCATCCGCTAGTCACATAGTCCCTTGTTGCTCGTCCCTTGTTGCGAAGCTTGTGCCGCCAACAAAGTGGTCCTTAATGTCCGTGAGCTCCATGTAGGAATAACACTTCACATCACACACAGCTTCATCGCTGCTGAAGTCGAACGGGTCCATATCCGCCGCCGAGGTGAACCTTATGTTCGTAGCGAAGTTTCGCCAGACTTTGGAAGCCACCCGCATAAGCACTCAGTCGAATATCAACACGTTGGTACCTTACGTAGCGCACACAATTTCTCACTGCCTTTCGCCGCTTCAAGAAGGGCGCACCCAGACCACTGACATGGCGGTAGAGGCAAACGCCGCTAGCGCCTCAAGCAGATGACGTCTCGTGCAACCCTCTTATTGGTCGATCACTGCAGTTCGAATCGTGCTCTGCACTCAATGCTGCAGTAAACAAAATGTGGCTCTCTACTATTTTACAATGGTTTTAGTAAGTTTTCTAGACATGCGATCTTTATGTAAACGCACTTTACGTCCCTTGTTTGTTGTACTAGAAAGATGATTTTGTTATGTACTGACGTGACATAATCAGCGACTTTTCAGGAGTTACGCTTAGATGTCAGCAATTATTAATCGAATAATTCTGAACACCCTTTGGATATGCCAGTGTGTACAAGTCAAGCCCAGCTGCCAGCAACTGTGAAGTTTCTTCTAGTCGAACAAGCGGTACATGTCCTTTGCCAGTGAAGAGAGGGGTGGATGCACTCAGTTGCGCATCATATAAAATGAGCAGACAGCCGAAACAATCAAGCATGAACAATAGACTCTGACTGAAGTGCTATGCAGAAGGTTGACCAGGTTTTATTTTTGATAGCAGTAAGTGAAAATTACTCCAAGTTAGACACAAGTTGCAACAAGAGAAAGTAGGGCATTGCATGGAAAAGAACCGTCATCCACATCATTAGCGTAACTATACCCACTGCAGGACGAAGGCCTCTCTCATGTACCACTTAATCAACCCAGTCCTGTGCTTTCTGCTACCATGTTATACTTAATCTCACCTGTCCACCTGACTTTTTTCTGTCTCCCTCTAATGCATTTGCTTTTTTTGGAATATAGCCAGTTACCCTTACAGACCAGCGGTTATCTTGCCTACTTCTACCAGCTCAACCCAAGTCCATCTATTCTTCTTGATTCAAACTATGATACGCTCAACCCCCGTTATTTCTCCGACCCACTCTGCTCTCTTTGGGTCTCTTGAAGTTACACCCATAATTTTCCTTTCCATTTCTCACTGCATTGTCTTAAACTTCAAACCTCTTTGTAGGCCTCCAGGTTTCTGCTCCATAGTACCGGTAAGATACAGCTGTTATATATACCTTTCTTTTGAGGAATAGTGGTAAACTACCATTCATTATTTCAGAATGTTTGCCAAATATGCCCCACCCGACCCTCATCCTTCTAGCTATCTCACACTCATGGTTCGGCTCTGCGATTACTACCTGTCCTAAATAGACATTCTTTTACAACTTCCCGAGTGTCACTGCTTTCTGTCGAGGTTGTTGCACAATACTTTATTTTCATGAATATTAATTCTTACACCCACTTTTCTGCTTTCAGCGTCTAGTTTAGTAATCATGAGCTTCAATTTGTCCCCCGAGTCGCTCATCAATGCAATGTCATCAGCGAATCGCAGGTTACTAAAATACTCTTTCCAATTTAACACGCGGTGAATAGCATTAAAAATAGCCATGTCGGCTCAAGTTATGGAACACAACATTGTTCTTCCTGACGAAAGTGCAAACACTACCGTGTAGTTTAAGGAATTGTTTGCTCGCTTTCTTAACTGAAACTTTAGATACAATATAATTCCTTGAATGACAAAGTTAGAGGTAAAAACAAACTTCCTTCATATGGTACGAGAAGTTTGTCGCAGTATGAGCGAATAGCATTACCAACATGATTCATAAACGCAACTATACGAAGAGTGCTAGACTCCTACAGCGTTCAGTCGTACGCGTGTACGTCGAACAAAACTCGTTGACGCGTCCAAAACGAGGTGACTGATCAGCCCGCGACAGGCCAGCGGAAGTTTAAACAAATAGCGCATTCCGAGTATCAGCTGTACGAACTGCGAACGAGTGTTCCTTGCATTGGATCGCACTTATCGATCAAGGGACGCGGCGAAATTTACCAGAGTTCCTCGAGTATGCAAGTACAAAGCTATCAAACAATTGATTCGGGACACGAGCAGCAAAAGCGACCAGCTTCAAACAGGTAATGCTCCCTCGGACTCACACTGATGTCATAGTTTTGACAGCCAGTCCGCGACGGCATACGAGCGGGGTCACTTACCAGGTTGTGGAAGGACCGTTTATCATTCAAAACGCGAAAACACAAGCCGTATCCAAGCCTCGGGGTGCGATGTTTCGCGGGACAACGCACGAATTGTCAACGTCAAGAGCACGGACCACTTCCGAAGCGACAGGTTATTAGGCCTAGAACTCCCCTTCTCCTCCTCTGCAGGTTCTCCGAAGAATGCGAGATATCTGTCGGCCGATGCTCGGCAAAAGGCGGCAGCACGACACGAGTTCTCCGCGCGGACTTGCCGCTCACCAAATGAAGAAACCACACTCACCCCCAGACAATGGGCGATCCCAAAGTAACCTTGTTGCTCACATCCCAAAGAGCGCTCGCGATTCATACACACGCATACAAACGCGCACCACCAGCCGCAACAAACTTCAGAAACACAAACAACCCGCTGGCGCAGCGGTGGCGCCCTCTCTACCTTAAATCGGGGAGCACACCACCAACGGAACGACTGTCATGTCATGTGCACATTTCTCTTACAGCGGCCATCTTGCAGACACAGTAACGTCCATAAAACTACAACCATAATGGAAAGCGTAACTAACGTAACTACAGCGTGCTTGCAAAGGAAAACAGTAGCTTTCTTTTTCTCACTTGTCCCATGCTATTTCTCGTTTACCGTCTCAGTTAAGAAATCTCAAAGCGAAAGCATATAATAGCTTTGTGCATTTCCATCCAATCATTCTGGTGGCTATAGTAGTACTGCTACTCCTGCGAGTTGTTACTACAATCTGAACCTCCTCTCCGAACCACGAGAAAGAGCGAGCGGCCTGCGTTTCGGCACTACCGGTTTCCAAGGCATGCCCCCAAGCGCAATACGAGTACTCCGGAATCTTTTCCTTAACGGAGAAATTATTAAGGAACCCTCCACGAGATCGGAATGCAGAGACTAGAAAAAAAAAAACAGGACCAATTGCAATGCCATCTCGCGAAGGAGAGCCGTGATCTCGTCGCCTTTCCTCAAGCTGTATCGCCACGACAGGTGCGGGCGGGAAACCGCGCGTGTCGTCTGCTCCATCCAGCAGCAGACGACTACCACTGCGCGCGCGCGCGACAGCGTCCGTTCGGCGCCGCGCTGACGTCGCGCTTGTTTTAGTGGCCGACAAAATGAGGTTGCCGCGGCACTGACTCCGATATGCTACACACACTCACAGCCTTTTGCTACAGTGGCCCCACGCTTCGGGGCAGCACCGACCGCAATCTCATCAGGGGGCCGAAGAAAATAGAAGGGGGAGGAGCTTGCGCCGCACGCGCGCGAAATAGTGCTATAAAACACTCCAGAAGGCAGCCAAGTCATCGGCAGAAAACGGCTACAGATGCATCACGTGAGGCGTGCATTCGTATAGGCAGGTGCCACTATATCGGCGGCACAGTTCGCGAACAGCAGACGTACGATGATCGCGCTGTACGAAAGGTTTGAACAAAACACAATCACTGAAGCTGCAGCAGCGTCACGTGAAGAGAAAAAAAAAAGGGGGGGGGGGGACAGCGAGAGGAACAAAAGGTACGGCGCCACGCTCAGGTTAACCTCAGCCGAAACCCCCGCCCCCACATAGCTGAGCCACGATACACACATACACGGTCTGGGATGTGCTCGCGCGCGCATAAATCAACGCGCGCACTTTTAAAGGGCACGAACGTAGACTACGGCGCGACCGCGGTTGTACGCACGATACAGGCGCGCTGTGGCGAGTTCGCATTCCGCCCACCTCGCTGATTACCTTGCGCTGAGGCGCGGCGGCAAATTGCAGCGGGCCCATGCAGGCGGACTAGCATTTATCTCGGGACCCAGAATGGGGCGAGCGGGATTAGGGGGGGGGGGGGGGGTCACAGTGCGCGTGAGCCGTAGCGGCGATGACGCAAGGCCAACATCTCTGCGCGAACTCTATGGGATATGCCGACCGGCTGGCTGGCTGGCCGGCCGTAGCCAGAGAGCTAGACGCGCGCCCCACTCCGGAAGTCCTGGTCTCCCCCCCCCCCCCCCCCCGTGGTATATACTCGGTCGTCGAAAACATCCTCGGTGCGCTCGTTACGGTATAATGCCGAATACCACCGCAGAGGCCAACATGGCCGCGTCGCCCTTCCTTTAATGGCAACGTATTGCGGCGTATCAAGAACTAGTCAGAGGGTAGTTCGTCCGGACGAAGTCCGTTCCGGCAAGTCCTATCAGGCGCCTCTTGTGGTCTTCTCCCGTTAGTGTCGACGATGTGATGTTAAAATTAAAGTCCGGCACAAGGCTCTGGGAGGGCGCAGCGTTAGATACAGAACACTCAACGAACAATAATTAATTACGAAAACCTGTAACTTAAGCGCTATCACCCGACACGTAAAGTCCTTCGCGCCGAGACGGCTGGCCGACGAGTACAGCTTTTGTCGCTTCATTGCTTCATATTCTTTCATCCTTCCTGCCGGAGTCGGTGCCTCTTTGATTACCTCCGAAATTCCCGAGCGATTGCATCGCAATCGCAGTGGACGACCATTGATAGATCGTAAACCAGGCATCGATGTCCAAAGCGGAGACTCTACAGATCTCCACTAGAGTTGGTGGACGTCAGTGACAGTATACAGTGCTTGGCCCGATAGACTATACACGATAAGTGTTTAAAAGTGCGGCGGGTACACGGGTGCGCGGATCAGGCTCTCGTCGTAGTGCTATGCCTTAATTGCTGGTACTCCTATGTAATCTTGATCGCGTGAATGTGAGATCACAGCAATTTCATCAACGTCATCTTGCCCGGACGTGCAACCGGACGTGCGTCTGGTTGACATCCCTGCCTTTCATTTCTTTCCTTCCTCCTCCTCCTCCATCTTGCCCGTGTGACTACGTAGTCTAGTCATAAAGCACACATACATATATCTATACCAATGAACGCCGCAGTACAAGTGCACTTGCATCAGTTCACACTCCCACCCCCCTCTCCGATTAAAGGCATCAAAGCTGGCTGCGATCAGCCTTGACCGTTTTGGGGGCAGCCAGCGTCATTATTAAGGCGAACGCCTCAGATGCCGCATCAAACGCGAAATCGAAACGTTGGAGACGATGTGATTAAAAAGAATATCGTCACGTGATTACGTCACCACATGACGTCAGTTTATGACGTCATCGCACCTTGGTAAAATGTGTCGCCGATTTGGGAGGCATGTGAACCCATGCACGCTCCTTGCAGAAAGCTATCGTAGGGTAGGTGCACGATCAGCAAATCGACTGACAGGAAAAATAAGATGGCTTTGGACTTCGGGTCATCTTAAGTGAACGCACGAAGCATAGAGTTTCCTAAAATTAACTAGAGGGGACTCTGGCACTGCGGTCATTCAGCGACCATGGGAATGATGGACAGTACACGAATTTGCCTAGTCTTCGTATTTGAAGGCGGCGAATCACACTCGTGGCTTCGTCTATTGCTTTGTTTCGGTTTCGTTTAGGACCCCTTTGAACTTCACTACCCGATTTGAAATGATAAGCCCAAGATTTTAAGCTGGTGAAGCGCAACCGTTGAACATTTGCAAATTTTTGTTTCGCAACAAAAAAGCTCCAAGTCACCCGAACACAAACGAAGCCAGAAGTACGAAAATTAGAGAAATACGTGCGTGTACTACCCATAATTCCCACGCTCGCTGAAGCACCGTGCGTTGCAGCTCCCATAGACACTTTCGCCAGAGTTCCCTCTAACGTGCACGGTGGAGTCACTCTGCGAAAACTTTATATTTCTCAAATGTTGCTTGAGTGCCACACGTTTTGACACAACAAACTCTGTATGCAGCCGCGCTAAACCCGTGGGATGCCTATCGTGGCGGCACGCGGAGAGGGCACCGTAATGGCGGACGCCGTAGCAGACGACGCTGTTGTTTCCACCCTCCAAGGCGGAAGATTGGGGAGCGCGCATAGAGGAACCCTACTCTAGTGTATATTTAGGAAACTCTACAGCACGAAGGACCCGGACATTTCAAGTTCGGTAATCGGCTCGTTTACAAGACAGCTAACGAGCTCATGATTGCCGATTACAAACACAACGCGAGGGAAAACAAAAAAAGCCAGGCCTGCGCGGGAAGCGTAGCACAGTCACAGCGAAAGCTGAAAAAACACCATTTTTAGAATCCATGCATGGTAGACCCTCTTGGGCCTACTAATACAAGTAAGCTTGCAAGGTACCCGGATTTTTCTAATTTCGTGCGATGGCGGTTACAGACACCGGCGAAGGCGGTAATTTACGGCAACCTTGTTGTGATCTTATAACAGCCTTCACTGTAAAAAAAAAAAAAAATGGCGCAAGCGCGCCCGTGATGCATGTGTATCAACTTCCACGCACACACAAGTACTTGCACTGGCGCTATCTTGTACATTCGATACTCGCCCAATTTGGTAACTTACTACCGTTATAACGGTGCCCCGAGCAGATGGAGATTGCCTTACAGCAAGCTATAGTGCGAATATTTCAAACCGGCGTCGCCACTGTAGTTTACCGTATTCGCGCCAGTTCTGCGGTTGCGCGCGTGTGTGTACCAAAACCCCTCTCGCGGTACTCGTGGCTCATTTTTGCCACTACGTAAATCGAAGCGTGATTTCTCAGGTACAGCTACGAATTGCACGGTTATGTATGTTTGTTGCGCACGAGAGGAGCTACAGTATGCATCACAGGACGGCCTCAATGAACACTTGCACTAGAGAGAAAACATTGTCAAAACTGCAGCCCTCTTCGGCGGTCGAGCGCGCGTGCCTCCGTCTCGCTCCAGCGCGACCGGAAGGAAAAGGGGGCCGCGTCGGAGTCCATCGACGCCGAAGACCGGGGCCGATGTGGTCACGAAATGCGATTTAACACTTCGCGAGCTCGCCCGAGAGCCATCGAAAGCTTGTGCCGCATGATAATGGTGCGTGTGCTTAAGCGAACATGCCTCCCGTATGCCGGCGTTCCCTTGGGATTTTGTCCAGTTAGACAAAACGGTTTAAAAAAAAAAATCATTTCGCAACAGCTTACATGCCCTGTGGAGGAAGATGATGTAACGTAGCAGCGTTAGCACACATGCACGCAATGAACAAAATAAGACAAAAACGTGAAATCATGTCTGCATTATACACATAGTTAGGATGGGGGGCAAAGTTTGTTCCATAATATGGGAGACGGCACTGCGACGAAATTTGCCCCCCCCCCCCTATCCCTGCGCACGTTTATCAATATAAAGACACGAATGAGTGGACATCAGAGTATTTTTGACAAACGCGTGTTGTGGCCGCTAGCACAAACAGCAGTTTTACTTTAGAAGATTTCACGCATGCAAACTTCTTCGCGAGCTCGGTCCTTCTGTGACACATAGGTCACGTGGTCCCCAAGATCTTATCATATCACGTTTTTTTTT